CTTCTTCGGCTGTGTCGTCTCCTCCTGCCTCATACGTTTATCTGTATATATAAACATCAGCATCACCTTCACCAATAAAACACACAGCAAACCAGCCAATCATTCCAAAATAAAGCATAATACATACCAGACTCAGAACCAGCAGCACCCCCAACATCCCCCTTCCTCCTATTCCGATTATTCCTCACATCCCGCGACCGAAAAACACTATACAGCAACCAACCAGCGACCCAGTTCGGGCCGTATTCGCCATTCGTCGCCCCGCGCTCGAACAAGCCGCGCACGAGTGGCGGTGCATTGTGGCAGATCTCGAGGATCGCCCAGCGCTGGCAGTCCGGGCGGATGTGGTGCCAGAAGAAGGGGGGCCGGGTCGCTGGGTCGGCGCGCACGTTGTCGAGGAGGTTGGAGGTGTCGGCGTTCAAGCGGTTGTAGACAATGATTGCTTCATCCTGGGGTGGGGTTAGGGAGTTATTGGAATTGTACAGTGTATATGTATATGAGAGGAAGGGAAGGTACGGAAGACGGTAAAGGAAGAAGGTAAGTGTTGAAGATTCGGCTGGTATACTTACTCGCATGGCGCGGTAGTACTGCTCATGATGTGGATCTTGTGGGTTTAGACCCAATGCGTACATGAATTCTTCTTTGGATACTCGAGGTCCGACGGGCATTTTGTTGGATCTAATATTCTTCGATTGGATTGAGGGGTGTATTGATGTGATCGAATAGTAGAATCAAGCTTGTATATCAGCCGTGAAATCAAGGCAAAAAAATAAAAGACCTGTGAATATGAATGTGAATTCAAGCTGAAGAAGTAAACTCACAGCCCGTATCAAAGCCAGACTTTATATCCCTCTACCATCCCCTTCAAACAGATCTCAACGGCGCGGAAACCCATCTAACGGCCGTTGGCTGCAAATTGCATGGCGCCGAAGCCGCCGTGCCGATACAATCAGAGATGTTTATCTCGGAATGGAGCAGAGCGAACGGACACGCGAGACAAGAGACAGAAACAGACGCAATCAGACCAAGCGGGGAAATGGGGAAATGGGGAAAGGGACAAACCCGCAATCAGATCGATATAACACAAGCACAAGGATCCGGAGCAGAGGAACAGGGATCTAAGTAAAGTACCTTGAGCCTAAGACAATACCTCTAACCCCACACATACAGATAAAGATTATTATTGTTCCTTCGCGTGAGTATGTATGACCAACAAAGAGGAAGATAAAGATGGAGGACACGAGTCCAGTGTTGCCGTTAAGGTATTTTTGGGTCATTTTGGGGGGTTTGGTCTGCCCTGGCGCTTACAATTCTCTCTCCGGGGTTAGACGCTAGTGTACGTCTTGCAGGATTCATGGAGTCGGGTGGTACATGTACAATTTGCGTTGATCACCGCACACCCGTTGATATACAACCCCGGACTACGTCAAGCTGCGATCCGGGATGGCTTTAGTGGGTTAGCGTGTTCAGGTTGAGTAAACCGTTGGGGGCTTGCAGAATCTAGGGAATAGGGCTACGGCGCTGTAGTACGGTCTTTCTCTGTGGAAAGTAGGCTGGGGGCATGAAGTTCCGATATGGCAAACGAGAATGTGTCTCGTTTACATTAGAAGCGAGAAGGAGAGGACAGAAGAAAAGGAGAGGGAGGTGGTACAAAGCCTCCTAATCCTACTCTACCTCTAGCTCTTCCCCTAGAAACAACGTATTCCCAGCCAGGGTGACAGGTCGAATAAAGCGAGACAATCGCAAACAGAGTTATCGTGGACCCAGCACTCTGGGTCGAGGACCGAGCGCGGAGATGGCAGGCTAAGTGCGTTCTGGTATATCGAGGGCGACTTGCTGAGCTCAGGTGTGCTATCCGAGACAGACGGGTAGGAGATATATGTATGCTTACATGCATGATAAAGGGGTGTGTTTTCGAGGTCAATTAGTATATTTGATGTTGCCCGGAGTAGGCACTACCGGACCCACGTTGAGGCCCCCATCCTAACTAGCAAAAGGTAGGTAATCGGCAGGGAAAGCTAGTATCCCTGGATACTAAGCCCGTTTCCACAACCTGTACGCATCCGCCATTAATGCAGTCGACAGCTCTAGCTTAACAGGACCAGATCCGGAAAGACCCATTCCCAACTGAGGATATCCACTATGTGGAGAGCTAGGAGTATCAGACCGTACATCCCGAACTCGGCATCGAGGCCCACTGAAACCCAAGCCAGTAAGAAGCGAAACATTCGCAGCCACACAAGCTAGTGGGAAATAAAGCCAAATAAGGCACCTGTGCCTACCCGTCGGCTTCCGGGCATCCTGCAGGAAAAAAAGCAACGCTCGTTGGCTATGTCGTGTGACCTGCCAGGCCGGAGTCCAGGCCAGGATGCAATTAAGCAAAAGTTCGATAGACCGGAACCCGAATTGGTGCTGTTGCTTGAATCTGCATCGGCTCTTGGATTTGAGCGCGTACTTGCGTCCCGTTGCGGGGAAAGGGGATCCGGCCGAGAGATAGCTTGACTCGGTTCCAAGTTCCCGTTTGTGATGGGTGCATATGCAATGGGAGGATGGTTGAATGGCACGAGCAACATGGCAACAGGTTCGGCGGATTGACGTTTGGATTTTGGTCTATCGTTTTGAGCGGACTCCCAGCGACAAAGTGCCTTTATAACTCGATATGCTTGAAAATACCCTTGCGGCCACTATACGTGCCGAAAGCTATTTTAGCAACTACCAAATGGCGACCAGAGCAAATATACATGTCAGAAGAAGGAGGACCAAACATAATTCCTGGCTGGAGGTCCTACCGTCCAATCCCCGGCTCGACGGAGCTTTTCCTCGTTGGCGCTGCGATTAAAGAACGGATGTCACATTGTGCACAAGACGAGGGCCAGTCAAGGTGGAGGTGGATCGTCTGTGCATCGCGATTTGATGACACTGCATAACCCCGCCTCTGCATTGCATTTTAGCACGGACTGTCGAGAGATCGAGCTTTGGTCAGGACGGCCAGGCCAAGCAGATATGAGGAATATCTGTATCTTCTGTACGGAGTACTAAATTGTGACTTGGATAAGTTTTCTGGGGCGCTATGTGGAATCTAAAAGCCACCAAGCATCCAAAGAGCTTTAGTTAGTCAAACCGACCAAATGTCAGCTTCAGCAATATGCGAGCGTGCCGTTGGATGTCGCCGGCGTTGCACCATCTCCATACTGCAAGTCCCCAGTACTCGTTTACCATTTGCCATTGGCCATGCGAGAGCGGATGCAGACGCAGATACAGCAGGACTTGCTGTCGGTTGGAGTAGATAGTGGAAGATGGGATATGTCGCTCTGATCGCAATCTCGTAAAGTGCAGTATTCGGGAATCGGGGCCTGTGAAGCACGCTGAAGATCGAAAACAAGACATCAGAGATTCGACTATCCCGCATCGGGCAAAGTATAAAGTTCCAAGGTTGAGTCAAGCTTCCAAGGTTATCCGGGGTCCCCAGAGGCCCACGCAAGTGGCTGAAGGTAAAAAGCTTTTTCGAAGCGCCACTTCTCGGCTTGGACTCTCCGGGTTATTTGATTATCGGTGGCTAAGTGTGGAAACACTTAACCCTGCTCAAACCGAATATTCAGGTACTTGTTGATTACTTTGGCTATGACTTTTGACGTCCAGACATGGTGTGGCTACTTCTCGCGCTACACGTACTCAATGCTGAGGCAATCCGTATGTCGCTATTGTAAGACTCCTCGGAATCGTCACGATTCTCGCGCCTGCACCACGTGACAGACCAGGAATATCCGTTTCCAATGTCCGGACGGGAAGGGGAGATATGGTGGGGGGAGGTGTTATGTACGTGTCAAGAAAGCCAGGAAAGCCAGTGTCGGAAGGGATGGGAGACAAGAGAAAGTGGATGAAAGAGGGGGGAAATGAAAAAGAAGCCATTTGCCATGCTCCATCCGTCGCTAAAAAGAACAAAGGGGAAGGAGGGATATCAACCAGCCCGCACGACCGCTTATTCCGAGGCTTCCTTGGTGGGCTCCTTAGTCTCCTTGGACTCGGTAGCCTGCTTCTTGGGATCTTCCTTAAGCTTTTCTTCCTTCTTCTTCTTCTTCTCCTCCTTGACCTCCTTCTCTTCTGGCTTCTCTTCGTCCTTCACCTCCTCGCCGTAGTATCGGCGGAGGAGCTTCTCGACCTTACGATATTCGACCTTGACTTCATCCAGAGTCTTTTTGATGGCCTTGAGGCAGACCTCCGTGTCCGGTTCGTCAATGAGACCTGCCTCGTCCTTGTGGGCGCCGAAGTTTTGGATCTTCTCGCAGCCCTCCTTGACCTTGACAAGGCCCAGTGTGGCCGATGAGCCCTTGAGGAAGTGACCGAGGGCAGAGAGTTCAGCGAGGTTCTTGTCATCTCTGTTGCGTAATTAGTAAAGGGATAATCACTGGAATTCGTGCAGGGAATAAAATATAACTCACATTTCCTTCTGTATCTTCTTGAAGGTGTTCTCGGCTTGGTCAAAGAAACCGTACACAATGCTCTTGCTGAAGTCGCGATCCTCCTCGTCATCGTCCATCTCAAGGATCTGTTCGAATGTGCTCTCGTCGAGGATTTCCTTATGATCAGAGAGCTTTGGCGGGCCCTGCTTGGCAGACTCGGGTGTCAGGCCGAGGAACCTTCGACCACGGGGCAAGAAGTACTTACCGACTCGGCCTTTTTGGTATCTGCTGGTGCCATGGTTGTGTATGTGTGTGGAGGAGATGCTTAAAGAAGTAGTGGGAGCACCCCAGTGCAATGCGCAGATCGTCACAATCGTTGGATAGTATGGGGGTCGATTCTCCGGTCTGATGTCCAGCCAATCCAGATGGAATACGAGGGGATCTGCTTGCAAATCCCAGTCAGCTCAGATTCATTGAACAGATCCAGATCTTGGATGGATAGAACAATGTGGCAAATCAATAAATGAGAGGTCTCGAATATAAAGATCAACGATGATACAACAAGGACGTCAGAATCGCAAGATCTGCACACAACGCATATGTCGTCTTACAAAGCCAGCAGGTGTTTACGGATCCAGGAACCAAAGTAGCAAGGGAGCTGTAAATGGATGGGGATAATGGTGAGCGGCTCCGGGTCTATGGCCAAGGGGAAGAGGCTGGAACCGAGGCGAAATTCAGCCACCAGATTGAGTGACCAAGGATAGTGACCAGGGCTGGGTAATGATAGTTGGGAAAATCAAGACAACGGAATTCGAGGGGAATAGAGGGGTAGTGTACACAGCAAGCAGGGGCCAGAAGGAGGGGGGGGGGGCGCAAGAATTAGAGGAACCAGATGTGGAGGTGGTATATGTGCTAGAGGGACCAAACAGGGCCATTCAGCGCATATACTCGGACGGTGATCCAGTCACAGCCTTGTAAACAAGGACTAGCGCATCGCAAGAGCTGCAGCCCCAAAAGCCAGGGTCTCCACTTGACAGGGAATTGAAGACAGGGAAAATAGGAAGATATTCGAGAGGGGCAAATAGGAAAGTCCATCCCACCTATATTTTTTTTTCCTCTCAGTTCTGGAGATGACCACGTAGCGAAAAAGGGCGACAAAGGAGGCAATAGACCCCGAATAGAAAAAGGAAAAAGGTCAAGGAAAAAAGAAAAAGACACGAAAGAGAAAGGAGGAAGTCAAGGAAGACGAGGGGGGAGAGAGGAAATCGGAGGGGCGGAGAAAGAGAGGAAGTGGACGAGGTGGGTAGGTCAATTCCAATCCGAAGGAACCAACTGGAGAGGTTGGGAATTTGATGATCTGAAGGGAAAAATATATCAGAGAAAACTGGGAAAAATTGCGAAAAAGTAGATTAACAGTTCATATTCAATACTCACTTGAATATTGTATCTCAAATATACAAAATAAGTAATATCGGTGTTGTTTTATGTTCATCCCATCGCCTTGGCGTTGAACAACTTGAGGGAAAGCATGATTTTGCACTGGAACTAGTATGTTATATTATTAGCTGCAATCTATACAATGGTTTCTAATTGGGCTCGGTTTCCTAAAAACTGATTCTATTCTTTTTCCGCGGCCAAAAGTGTCCAAAAAAGCAATTCTAGACGTCCGATGCCATTAGTACAATCTTGTACTCCGTACGGAGTAGACTTTTGCTTTTTCGACTCCATTGTTGCTTTTTTCGGTTAAATCATACATTATCATCTTGGATTTTGAGCGGATTTTCAGCCACAAGCTCAAAAGAACTGCTATCTCTGGATCAAATTCCTCTGTGGTCCGTTCATGAGCCTAGTGGAGTACAACCGTGGCATCAGGCCTTCGACTGATGGGTCCACTGGGAAGAAAATGCACGGAATGAACGGGATAACCCCTCGGTGACCTGCTATGTGTGCTGAATAGTACATGTTTAGTGGAGACTGATAGGGTAAAAAAACAGGAAGAAAAAAACGACACGTTTTCTGACCGCAAAGGACCGCTCCCATACCCATCTGGCGGCGGTACGGAGTAGGGGGGCCAGCACGACGACATCATCGGACCGCCGATCCCAGCAGGGGACGTCATTTTGTCTTCTCCCAAGCGAAGTTAAGTTTGGACGGTCACACGTGGAAACATTTGGGGAACTGCGAATGGCAATGGCCTGTTTCTTTTTCTCCCTAGGGGCATTCTTTGGCAAGAGAATCAGAACCGCTTCTTCATGACTCGTTCAGTACTGCTTGAAAAGAAAAACAGAAATAAAACACCTAGTGTCCTAGCAGAGTTTTAGCCGCAAAAAAAGAAAATAAAAAAAAAATAAAAAAAAGAGGGAAGACGTAATAATCCCGGCTCGTACAGCAGGGAAGCACGATCGACTTAGGCCAAGTGCGCGGATAGAACCTGGTTCAGTCGGTCTGGACCTTCAAGGACCGTGTCCAGCAACTCAGAACTCGTTCGTTCTGATTGTACATTGCATGGATTTCACATCTGACGCACTCGGTGACAGTGAATTGGACGACCAATGTATGAGTTCACGGCTCCAGGCTCGTTTCTTTTCCCTCTCAGAGGGGAAGAAAGGGGGGTAATTGTTGGGCTAAGACACGAGGGATTATGCTGTAACCGATGACGATGGGGTGTTTTGGTGTTTCTTTCATTCTTGGTTTTTCTTCTGGTCTGTATTCACGGTTCGGGTTCCCTATGAAAGGACTGGCGTATAGGTTAGTTATATGTCAATTGAGATCGAATATTTCCACAATCGCGAGCCGCAGCCATGTTTGTTTATATAGAGAAATGGGGGCATTTGTGCATCTTCTTTCCCCTGGTTTTTGCACGAGGTGGTTGGCTCTAGCACATTCTCCATCATTACCCACCAATTAGAAGACGCGATAGTCGCCATGACATCATGGGATGGGGCAGTAGTTCAGCCCACACCAGCCGCTGATGTCATTTTAGCGTAACGGCAAAATACGGCAATTACGTCAATTACACCAAATTACAAATTAGTTACATACGATGTTTACTTTCTACTTGTGTACCCTAATAATTCCATTGTGCAAGGTCTCTCCCCATACCATGCGCAGGGTTGAGAGAATTGTATACTTCCAACTCCCTCGAGTGATAACAGGTCCTCGTACCTCCTCAAAGGAATTAATGCCTATGCAGGGCGACATCATGGGGAAGGCTATGATGTCAGTTGCGAGCAATGATGTCAGTTCGCATACACCGTGAACCGACGGAAGTTGCATACAACATAAGAGGACAATGGCTGCTGTAGCACGTTGTAAAAATAATACAAATTTTATACAGTTCATCGTCTTTGGAAATTAATATGCATCAGTCTCTGGTGGATTCACAACGGAGAATCAACTGGACTATAAATTGAAGTACTTTTGCTTAATGTGGGGTTCTGGCTAAGTTCACCGAGGAACTATGAAAATTAACCGCTATCATCTCGAATCTGAGCAATCACATCAAACAACAATCCCTCCGATGTCTGCCCATCTGCCCATCTGCCCATCTAGCCTTTCGGACATACCACCCAAATCAGTCAAGTCCAAAATAGACCTGACTAGGCATTTTTGCTGCCGGCAATACGAGATGGCAGGCAGCCTCTTGCAGTAGTCTGCGTTAGATCATGCAGTCTCACACCGCGGGGTCAGCTAGTCCGTATTCTTTGTGTCCCAAGCAGCCAAGAGCACCTCTATAGGAAGCCATCCGCTTCGCTGCCGGCCCATGCACTTGATTGCCTTGAGCGAATCACATCAAGCCTGTTCCTCGGCAGAAAGCTTCTAAAAAGAATGTTCACATAGTCCAGACCTGCAGAGAAGATGTACCCGGGTCCACATCTCGGCTACGGTTTATATTCGGAGCGAAGAACGCAGCGTCTGCATGGCTGATTCCTTGAAAGGGTGATTGGCTAAGTAGCATGCAGCATCCGACTACTGGTAATATCGGAATTTATAGTGATACTCATATACTGTCAATAAAATCATGCATAAATCCCCCAAGAAACCCAACAACCAACAAAATAAAGATGTGCTATACCCCAGATCCCAAACACACTTTTGCTCCACAGCTTCTTCGCGGGCTCCAGAGAGCTTCCAGAATGCTTACGTAACGGACCGCGACCTCGGTCCCTTTTTTTTGTTGATCACGAGCTTCCCAACCAAATGAACATTTCTAGCTCCTCCATCCAGGCCAACATCATCACGAATTGCCTCCACGAGACCGATGAGAAACAAGTCTGGTCAAAAATGGCATCAACCAAAACATCAAGCGCCCCGCGCTCCGGCTCTTCAGGCCTAACAAAATCCTACCTCTTCACATACAACATTCTCAACCTCCTTGCCTGGGGCACCTGTGTCGTCTACACGGCCTCTCTCCTCCCAGCCCATGTCTCGACCAAAACTCTCCCGAAGGTCTTCAACCAGACTTTCTCCCCGCTACTGCTGGCCACGCAGTCCCTCGCCCTCTTAGAAGTTGTGCACAGCATTGCTGGCCTTGTGCGCGCGCCGTTCATGACAACTGCCATGCAAGTTTCTAGCCGGCTGCTGTTGGTGTGGGGGATCATGGCGCAGTTTGGTGGGGAGATTGTTGGTGCTGGGCAGAATACCCAGCTGGGTGATTATGCGTATCTGGGATGTGTTTTTGCTTGGGGAATTACAGAAGTTATCCGTTATGGATTCTTCGCCATTACCTTGTCTGGGAACTCAGTTCCTAGCTGGTGGACTTGGTTGCGGTAAGTTTGGGGGTTTTTTTTCTGTTCTTTTCTCCCCCTACGTGGCTACCGTGTTCAATGGCTGATGGGTTTCACATTGAACAGATACAACACTTTCTACGTTTTCTACCCCATCGGTATCTCTAGTGAATGCGCACTCATCTTCCAGGCCCTTGGCCCTGCTAGGGAGGTCAGCCCGCTTTTCCGTTACCTTTTGATTGCGATTCTCGTGATCTATGTGCCCGGTATGTCGTTCTTCCTTTAGGGAGTTAGTAGTATCGGTTACTAACTACCTCTAGGGTCTTATATCCTGTACACGCACATGATTGCCCAAAGACGCAAGATCATGCGCGGCAAGAAGAGAGCTGATTAGACAGCTTAGCTACGTGCAACACAACATAAGTTTGAATAAATTGAGTGGGGAACGAAAAGATGACCTCGATTTATAGCCGGCTGATGCTCAAAATAACGCAAGCGTCCGTCATATTTAGGACCCGGGGACCAGGTTTTCTGTGCGTTTAACAAAAATATGACTAGGTAGAGTATTCTTCTGAATCTGCATCACGGAGACGGACTCTTCAATCTTGGCTCAGATAAAACATATATCAACTCTCCTTCAATGAGTGAATCTCGGTAGACCAATAGTATCACGTCCTGGCATGAGAATGTCCATTGGTGTTCACTCGGTGGCATAGGCAAGTTTTCGGTGCCATATCTATAGGGATCCGGCTCAATAGCTGTCCTATAAAGCACCCACATGGTCTGTTTATGCAACTAGTCAGCTGAAGGTCAAACCAGAATATAAATGCACGCAGTGAGGGATCCGTTACACTTTATTACATCATCTTCGATGCTCCAAGCGCGTCCCGGACCTGCTGGGGACTCCATGATCCGTCCATGGGAACCAGGGTGTTCGCCACGGTACTTATCCTCCCGTTTTTCGACGTAGAGATTGTGGTTACGCTGTTCACTTGGACATGAAGGTTGTGGTATTTGGGTCGCCACTCGTCAACTAAACAATAGAAAGTGAACTCGGCAATTTCGAAGTGGTGAAATTCATGCCACTCAATATACTACATCAAGACAAGAAAGGAAGTGAGCTCAGTAGAAATACATACCCTTGCATGTCACTCTGAAATTAACATCCTTGTACAATGTATGCTCTGCGTCGGTGAAGCCCGTCATCTTGTCATCCGGGATGCTGTTGAACACCCATATGATGCGTGTGATAAGCCAGGTCTTTAACAATGAAAGAGTGCTCGATTCAAAACACTAAAGATGGGCAGAGAAAGGAAGCAAGATCTGGTAGGGCCTGGGAGAGCCAAAGAAAGAACGCAAGCAAACAAAGAGAAAGCAAACTAGCAAACGATCTGACATCTGATCTGGCATGTAACAATGCATGCATAGATCCAGATCGTGGCAATGCGTATCAAAAAAAGGAACTTCGTTATTTTGCTGTAAAGGCAGGTCTTATAGAATATGCATGGGGTAGATATCGACGTCACTATAAATCTAGAGCTTCTTGGGAAGATGGAAGTCATCACACTTCAAAACATTCCTTGCTTCACTGCCGCTGTCTACGGTGACCAGATCCTATCGCCCAAGCTGCGCGCATTGCTTATATCAGTGGTCATGTCTTCAATCCATGCTTCGATATGCCTGGCATCCAGCAACCTGTCACAATGATGCACCGCATAGTCAAAGTCTCTTTTGACCTGGCTCTTTTCAAAGACTTCCACCCATCCTGCGTCCAGTACTCTCATCTCATCAATGAATATATCGCGTAGGAGCGTGGTCTCATAGTGCCATAGGTGCTCAAAGTACAGTTCATTTGGTTCTCCGTTATCTTCGAGTTTGTAGTTTCTGGGGACAGGCTTTGAGTATCGTGGTCGTCCTTCTAAAAGCTGAGGATAGGAGCAGGCCTTCCATAAAGGCACCGCTGAAACACACTCCCAGCCTAAGACACCAGTCAGTTCCCCGCTGTTATCAACGAGGATATTGCGTCCCCAGAGGTTGTTGTGGACTAGCATAGACGGTTCTGAATCAACATCATCCGTTGGGAAAACCAGAGGAAGAAGGCATTTGAGGTTGTCAATGATTTTCAGCGCCCTTGTAGCGAAGTCCACTTCGTCTTCAGCATCGCTATCAAGGTCTCCATCTGAGTACTTGTTCAAAGTCGAATGACACTCATTTTCATTGCATAAAAGACGAGCTGTGATCCATTCCTTGCTTGTGCGGAATGGGCCCCGGGGAATATCTTGGTGGATACGTGAATCCCAGAAAAACTGCATAGAAACAATCCGGCCCACATCAGGTAAAGCCTCTGGTGAAGAACCTTTGTTGGGCATATTCAATAGAGGAGCTCCCGAGTTCTTTCTCATACGTGCGCTACCATCATTTGAGGCCGGTTCCTTTGCCGGAACTGATATTTTGGTATCGACAGCTCTTGGAGACGGGATTTCCTCGCTGGGCGTTGAATTTTCAACAACAGATAATTCCGGGTAGATATTCCCAATTCCGCGTAGTTGATTTCGAAAAAGGCAAGCTGAGCTTGCCGCAAACTCCCTAATCAGGCGTGCTTTCACATCGAACGAAAGAGACTGGTGAAGGTCACTGAAGCGCTTTCCAGGCAATTTGGTCATGAGAATCCATTCAAATTCAATCAGATTGTCTCGGGAAGGTTGGTAGGTGATAGTTCTAGGGATTGGGAGACTTGTGATGCGGCGCACCCAGTCCATTGTTGCCACTTCACTCATGACTTTGTAATATGGATCGACCGGCAATGAGACTCGCATCATAAACGGTTCATCATCTATGCTAACGTTGTAGACCTTGTTTAATGCACCCTGTGCGAGAAAAGTCACTTCAACCGTGCTTGATGGCCGAAGTGATTGTACCGTCTGCTTAATAGCCTCAGGCTCGGGTTCGAAGGTCCATTGCGGCGAAGGTTCCCAGAGCCCTTCCACCCACTTGAGGCCGCGGAACTGCGATTCCTGTGATTCCAGCGACTGCATTTTCGGTAGGGTGACTGTAGTCTAGGAAACCTTGCTTCTCCTGCTGTATGGCAATGTGTTATGCAGGCGGGATGGGAAAGGTATTTCTTTTCTTGGATGCTGCCTAGGTGTGACTAGTAGGTCGTTTCACTTAGGAGGGAACACGGTCTCCAGGTGCAGCATAGGTCACGCCGACATTCCAAAGGGTATCCACCGATATTGACTATACCTAATTAGGACGTCTCAGCCTCATCCCTTCGAAAGTTTCCACTGGGTCCCATCCACGTGACTGACATATTTCTATCCCGCTTTTTCAGTCAAAATTCTGCCAGCTCGAAGACTGCGCTGCAATAAAGCAGAAAATGAGACGCAGGCATGGGAAGCACTTGGTATCCTCGACCGACCAGATAACCAAGCTTGCATGCCAAAGACTGTCCAGCAGTTTACGCTCTTACCCACAACAATTACGTTTTTGATGGATACACTCCCAACGGATTCTTTTAGATCTGCCAAGGCACAACTTCTACCAGAGCTCCACTATCAAACGTCCCAGTGGATGTAACGGACCATGTACCTGACAAAGATGAGCTTCGTTTACGTCTATATGATCTTATTAAATCTAAGCGAGCCACTGACTCTATGTATGCATATCTTACCAGAATAGGGCTTTCTAATGGATCCTCCTCATTGATGGATCTCTGTGGAGAGAAAGAATGTGGTGCATTCGCTATAAATGGGAGCAGACAACGATGCGAGCGATACAGAGCTGAGATGATTTCTGCTTGATTTGTAGATTTTTCCAAATACATTGCCGTTTGATATTTATAGAGAGTTCCAAATACTACACTTCCCTTCTCTTCTGGTGTCTCAGATTTAAATCTATATATAATCTTAAGAGCCTCTAGATACAGGACATTTTCTCTCAGCGTCTCCCTAACTTAGCTGTCGCCTCTGAAAGCAGTCCAGGCTTTGTGAGCTAACATGATTACAGTTGGAGGCAGATAACACTGTAAAATTCAATCAGAGGAAGAACAGTTTATACAGAAGAACTCTGAAACAATGGTTTGGAGAGTATCACTAACAGCTAGGTCGCGGTCATTGCCAGCTTGGTGATAAAGCGAAATGGATGATCAATGGCGATGGAAAAAAAAACACCTACAATAACAACGTAATTTGGGTTGAGTACATCGTAGGCCATTCCTTGGACTTGTGGGGGAACAGATTAGTTTACGCTCCTACGATAAATGTCAAAAAGAAGAATGTGTGTTATGTCGGCGCTTCTAGGAAGGTTGGCACGATTACCACTAAATGGTACCGTACATTGTAATCAACCAGATTTCTGTCATTCCACCTTAAGTATTTACATCAGCTCCCCATTCTAGCAATATCTGCATTACCTTCTTATGGCCTCTATATGATGCAGCCTTAAGTGCACTACCATATTCTCCGCCCTGAGCATTGACATTAGCACCTTGTGCTAGCAGTATCTGCGCCACCTTGTCATGACCTCTGTATGATGTGGCCTGGAGCGCATTGCCATAGTGTCCACCCTGGGTATTGACATCGGCACCTTGTGCTAGTAGTATCTGCACCACCCTTTCATGGCCTTCAGCTGATGCAGCCTGGAGTGCGTTGTTAAATGTCCCATGTTCAGCATTGATATCAGCAACCCATTCTAGTAGCATTAGAATAACCTTTTCATGGCCTCCATGCGACGCACCCTGGAGTGCACTACCAAAGTGGCCGCCTTGGGCATTCACATCAACACCTTGCCCTAGCAGTATCTGGACCACCCTTTCATGGCCTCCGTATGATGCAGCCTGGAGTGCGTTACCAAAGTGGCCGCCTTGGGTATTCACATCAACACCTTGCCCAAGTAGTGTCTGGACCACCCTTTCATGGCCTCTGTATGATGCAGCCTGGAGTGCATTACCATAGACACCGCCTTGGGCATGAATATCAATACCCTGCTCCAGCAGTATCCGGACCACTCTTTCGTGGCCTCCGTATGATGCAGCTTGGAGTGCACTGCCATAGTCTCCGCCTTGGGCATGTATATCTGCGCCTTGCTCTAGCAGTATCTGGACCACTCTTTCGTGGCCTCCATATGATGCAGCTTGGAGTGCACTGCCATAGTCTCCGCCTTGGGCATGTATATCAGCACCTTGCTCTAGCAGTATCTGCACCACCTTTTCGTGGCCTCCGTATGATGTAGCCTGGATTGCACTACCATAGTCCCCGCCTTGGGCATGTATATCTGCACCCTGCTCTAGCAGTATCTGCACCACCCTTTCATGGCCTCTATATGATGCAGCCTGGAGTGCATTGTAAAAATGTCTACCTTGGGTTTCAATATTGACATCAGCACCATGTGCTAGTAGAATCCGCACGATAGTTTCATAGCCTCCGTAGGATGAGGCCTGGAGCGCATTTCCAAATAATCCACCCTGGGCATTCACATTAGCACCATGTACTAGTAGAATCTGCACCACAGTTTCATAGCCTCCATAAGAAGAGGCCTGGAGGGCATTGCCGAATGATCCACCCTGGGCATTCACATTAGCACCATGTGCTAGTAGAATCTGCACCACATTTTCATAGCCTCCGTAAGAAGAGGCCTGGAGGGCATTGCCATAGTATCCACCTTGAGCATTCACATCAGCACCCCGTTCTAGCAATATCTGCACAACCTGTGTATGGCCCCCAGATGATGCAGCCTGCAGTGTATTGGCATGTCTTCCGCCTTGGCCGTTCACATCGAACCCAATATCTATCATCTCATTTGAGATTCGAGCAAATCCTAACAAGGATGCATAGTGCAAAGGTGATGGGATGTCATCTATGGGACGCTGAAACTCTGGAAGTTTTAGCCATGGACGCTCAACATCATGCAGCCTTATCCAAGTGCTAAAGCAACCTCTGTGGTTCCTGAATAGCTTCAGCACCAGATTCTCAACATCACACTTTCCATCCTGGGAGTTTGTGTAATGATGGTACCAGTTTTGAGCAGCGAAATGGGTTAACGGGAACTCCAAAATCGTTTCCTCGTTCACCTCACCACTGGAAAAACGAGGCTGTAATAGATACGCGAGACATATTTGAGCAATCTCGGTGTGTGCAGGGCCACTTTTCAATGCAAATACTGCTGCTTTTTGTCGCTCAATGCGGTCTGACAAGAGGTATTCTTGTACGGAGAAATGGGCAATATGAACAGTCAGGGTCTCTTGTCCCCTTTCATCTTTATTGCGTGCAATTTCAATCAGTCCAAGGGAAATATCACGGATGTCATCCATCTGTAACAATCGGTCTTCCCAGTTTGAAAGTGGTGGGTCATCAATTTCAACTGCATGTGCATGGATCAATTCAGCTATGGTCAGAGGTCGGTTCGAGAAGCAGAGTATAGTTAAAATTCGCCGCACATCGTGAATATGGATTTCATCAATTCCACACAAAAGTCGTTCGTATGTTTCAGCCAAGTCACAGGGCAACGAGTTCAGGCATTTGTCAAGATGGACTCCATTCCGGGCCCGTTTAAGCGAATTGAGTTGACATTCAACATAACGAAATCTGTGAAATAAGTTAAGAACTTGATCATATCACTTTTCTTTTGTCTAATACTTACACTCCTTTCGCACGTTCCGTTAGCAAACCTTGGATCTTGCTATGATGCGCTTTCGACCACTGGAAATTTGAATCGCTATTTAGTCGATACATGACAAAGCTAGAAATATCTCTGTCGATTTCCGTACTTCTCATAATGATGTCTTGATCGCGTTTAGGGCTCAGAGATCCTCGGATATCAAATTCATCACGACTAGTAACCAAAAGGTGGACGCCAGGCAAGCACCACTTGCGCATTACTTCCAACGTAGTTAGAACATTCTCTCTTTGATGATATCGGGGGCTCTCATCCAATGCATCTAGTAGAATATAGGTGTTGTGGAACCGCTGTATTGTACGTCGAAGGTAGGCGATTAGTGCTTCCACTGGAGGAGCACCGGGGTTATACGACGTATATAGCTGTTGAAGGTCCTTTTCGCCATTTTTCAGTTGCCCAGATAGTTGTAGCAGCAACGCACGTAGCATTCCAGAGTCATTCTGTTTTGATGTGTCATTGAAATCAAAGTAAAAAAAGGCAATGCCTACACCTTGCTCGGTCTGCTTCGTGCGAAATGTGTTTTGAATAGCAGTTGAACATAGAATAGACTTGCCACATCCGGCAAAACCGTTGATCCAAAGGAATGAATTGGATTCTGTCAACCAGCTAGTGAACTGTTGACCATTGATGAACCATAATCCTGTCCTTGTGTGACGCTTCCTGCATGCAGCATTATGATTGATGGTAGCATCTGGGGCCATAAGCCAATCACGGATTGCCGAAGAGATCTGAGTTGCATTCACACATTCAAAAAGCGATTTTAGTCCAGAGAATTCTTCCTGAATTGCCTTGTGGTCTTTGAGCTGTAGCAGATCTAGTGCAAATGACATGTTTTCACGTATCTCAGTAACGTTGTCTTCGAGATTCATAAGTGTACCTCGCCTTAGGGGATAGGTGATACGGCGCGCCGAGACCTTCACTTTCCCCTTGGCATCGCTAGCTGAAATTTTGTCGAACTTTTTAAACTCGCCTTGAAGCTCTTTGATAATCTCCTCACACTCTAGAATGGCTCCTTCAACTTTCTGGAGCAGGTCATGTTCATCGGGTCGGAATTGGCGAGCTCGGAGTGTGGTATCAAGAGATTGGAAAGTGCTCAAAAGAAACTCGAGTGTTTTGGCTGTTCTGGCCACATTGATGTCCTGGTCTTTCCAAGAGGTGTAAAAGCCAATGAGACCTGTGGTGACTTGGATGCCAAGTGAGAGCAACCCCGCAACCCCTGCGGCGACGGAGAGTGGATCAGCCATGGGTAAGGGCCTGGAGTCGAAAGTTCGGCGACTCTAATATCAAGAAAAATGAGGTAAAAGCTTTGCATTTAGCTTTGCAACGATAACTTTCCAAATGATGATTCGGAAAAGAACGACGAGAAGAAGCGACGTCTTTAACCAGTAAATTTCACATATAGACGAAAATAGAAAGCCACTTGTAGATAAAATAACCGCCCATCTGCACGGTGCAGATCTTAGCCCATCCTGTGAGAATAGCACACAATTTCAGCTTCACACAGATTGCCGGCTAGAAGCTTTGTGTGCTAGATTAAATGTCGTTGTTTTAACAATGAACCCTAATTTGATTCTTAATTCGGCATTTGATGAAAGTTACCATTGAAAGTAATGCAAAATCGGGAGGAGAGCTCGGCCCCCGACCCCGGCTAGCAGAGCAAGGCTGCTCTGTCAGACCAGTGTACTCGGTCCTTTGCATCCCATCAACCTGTGCGTTGCCCCACTGCAAAGATTTGGACGTGTCTTCATCCTATAGGTCGATTAGCTGCTATCTGACCCTCATTCCCTACACGCCGATGACCTGTCCTGAATAGGGCGTCGCCATATTAAGATATCACAGATGGAACGGGTATTGCAAAATCTCTCTGATATTGAAGTTATGGAATCAGAGGGAATAATTTATGACAGATTCGATATGAGACACAAACCAGGGGAAACCATGGCAGTCAACAGAAGTTGTCTCTAGTTAGTAACTAGTCATTCAATGGTAGCCTGCATATCCAGGCCAGTCTAGCATATGCAGCCAGCCCTAATTGATTCTGATTGTTTACACCGTAAGACGGTATGCAGGATTCGGCTCAGCCTCAGCAAGATATTTATGACAGTAGCGAAGTTTCAGTTACCGCCGGAGGCTTAAAGAGGTGCACTTCTCCGTAATGCCTAACAAAACATAAAAGCCAAAGAGGAATACTCTCGAAGTCCAATTAATTTTGGCTCAACCTCTCGCAAGCCTAGAATTCAGCTGTGGGTTAGGACAATCAGTTCTCAATATCGTCTTTCTTCTCTAATCACCCTTATCTACCTCTCCCCGGCCATCCTTGTCCAAACGAGAATGGGGAAGGCCCAGCGAGCTCTAGGGGCTTTCATCAATAACATCCCAGATGCCAAGCTTTTAGGCATCCCGGGTAAGGAGGTCTTACACAAGGACGTTGATTTCAGGCTGGTATTTAAAGGGGTATGACCATTGACACTTCCTTAATCGCCTTTGATAATGCGTTTGCATGGCATACTTTCAATCGATGTGAGAGTTGCTAAGCTAACACTTTGCGGATTGGTAGCTGACGTCCGGCGAACCCAAACACTTCATTATCGAAGTTATATGCTTCGAGCCCGAGGACTCGACCTTAAAGCGATTCGGCTTTGGACCTCTGACAAAGACACTGATCCCGCAAGATAGCTCATGGAGACCCCAGAGGATTCGGGATGAGCTTCTCGCGAATTGGAAGATATAGAGATATATTTTGATTGTGCTGAGGTATCAATCAGGCTGACTCTGTGTCGAGTGGGAGGAAGATAATATATATGGGGGGAACAAAGCTTGTGAGCGGCTTAAATGAGATGAAATTAGAAACTGGAGGTTGGAAATATCCCAGAATGAAAGGGTACTTGGAGGCCCGGGTCGAAAATGATGCTTTCTGGAAGGATTGATCTACCCTGCTTTTTGTATACAATTTGTGGTTTCTATGAAGAGTGTAAATGGCCATTGTGAATATCCTAAGCAGAACTGTAAGTTAGCTAGGAATATCTTTAATGTATAACAAGACCCAAAGCCGTGGAATGATGATACGCGATGGTGAAGATCACGAAAGAAATCTTACTATGGGACCTCGGCTCACCCGAGATGGCATCGTTACTAACAGCTAAGTTGCGGTCATTATTTCTGACACCTGAAAGGGTCTAAAAGCTCTATCGGTGTACGCCAGCTGTCCACCAGTCAACTAGTCCTATAGACTAGACTATGAATTCAACAACTGCCAAAATCTAAACAACTTCATAACAGAATTAATTCATCGCTAACCACCACTGGAACCAAAAAGAAAAGTCCACCATCTAAACAAAACCATCATTAGTCCAACCATACCATAGCCAACAGGAACACAAATCCCACAGCTTTTCCCTCTAAAAAGCACCCACAATCATACCAAGAAAGGCGTAGTCATAAGTATTATATCATAACATCGTAATCATCCTTCCCCCAACCCCAGAATTAACCCCTCCCCAAGACCTACTAACGGGACTACTCCCCTCCACTCCAACTCCCACCCCGCGAGCTATCACTGCCACTCCCACTCGCAGACCCCAAAGAAAGCACATCATCCTCACGAGCAAGCTTCCGTCCCACGCCAATCGCAACACGCATCCCCTGCGCAGCGCCGCCATGCTCATGTCCCACAGGGTACATGCCGTCGTTGACGGAGAAATTTCGGCAGATGAGGTAGGCGCGCATGGCGGCGCTCTCGCGTGCGAGCGTCTCGTTGCTGCAAATACTGTCTGTTTGGTACTCGCGGTTATTGACGCGCACGGTGCATGTGTATCCGCTGCTGCTTGTGTAGGCGTTGTAGATTGGTTCGGGCCAGTTGCGGCGGCGGCAGAGGCCTGGGTTTTGGATTTGGTTAGTTTGGGTTCTGGGTGGTGGGATTGGTTGGATTGGAGTGGGGGTCGAGGAGGTCAAGTCTTGGGTGTTTGTTTTTCTGCGTTGGATGTTGGAGATAGGATATCCAGGGATCGGGTTTTGGGGGAATTGGTTTGTGTTGGCAATGATGCATGACATACATGGCTTGCGGAGGAGGTGGTGATGGGTGGGAGGGTGATGACATACTGGTCAAGTAAAGGATATAGTACATCTTGGAATTTGGACTAGACGCAAGCCGGAAGCGAGAAAGACGGGAAAACTAGAGAAGGGCGACAGACGACGGCGTTGCCACTTGTCCAACTGCAACGAATTGTGACAATTACTGGGAACACATTGGACAGATCTGGCTTGCAGCGAGACGGGTTTAGGGCTGAGGCCGAGCTGCTAGCTGGTGTGCAGTCAGAGGATATGCGGATTGTGATGCCCAACGGCGTTTGCTTTGCTAGCAGCGGGGGAGGATGTGTTGGCGTTCCAAACAAAAGCACAATTATAATACTAGTAAAGGCCAAGGGTGTCTAATTTAACGAAGAGGAAATGAAAAGCGCGAGAGTGAAAACGGTAGAGAGGGATCGAGGACTAAATCAAAATTGCGAGGGAAATGTTGGAAAGATGCCACACCCATATACAGATATACAATTTTCTAGAACCGATTCCCCCTCCTCCGTACAACAGGAAAAAAAGAAAAAGAAAAACAAATTAATGAGGGGAAGAGAGCTGCTGCTTGCCATATACTTGATTACTTCTGGAAAACAGGTGGGGCTTTTGCATTGATACCTTTCCCAAGTCATACCGTGAGCTGGCCGGTGTGCACAGTACCAATAGACAAGGGAAACGGTTGCAATTGCGACAGCGTACAAAGAATCAAAAAAATAGAAGACAATTGGTGTCAATGCAGATGACCTGAAGAAGAAAAAGGGATCAAAACGAAAGTCAAACTACCAAGATTCTAATACCCACCGTTGAAAGATGGAAGGCAAAAAAAAGCAAAGCCAAGTATACAATAAACAATAATAGTAAGCAGTAATAGTAAAGAATAAACAGAAGAATAAACAGAAGAATAAACAGAAGAATAAACAGAAGAATAAACAGAAAATAGTAAACAATCTAACTTCAAAAGAGACCCTAGGGCATGGATCGGGAATCCGGGTATAGAATACTTCCAAGTAAACCGAGTACAAGAGAAGAGAACAGAAGACGATAGATGCACGCAAGCGCATTGGACCTCAAGAAGGCCCTAGAACAAAGGTAACAGTAACTCAAACGGATTTTCGACGTATTTCGTGTGCCGTTTTCTCGGCGGGTTTACTGATGCGTTGGCATATCTCTTTGCCAGTAGAATTGAACCGAGTCTGAGGCACCGGGAGTCACCGTGAGCTGTCTGATTGTGCCCCTGCAATTCGCCGATCGAAACATAAACATTCTCGGAGACTAAGGGAGACCTTGCAACCTGCTTGCAGAAGGTAATACCTGAAGATTATGGATCCCAGTATTCCGGAGTGATTTGAATGGAACGGTGCTATAATGGTGCTGTACTATACTATTCTCCATACACGGGTTGTTTTTCATTGACATTGGTCGCTGAAAATGACCTCTTCATTTGATTTTGGCCCCGCAGACGCATCAGAGAAGGCACAATTAAATTTGCCGCCCTTATGGATATCGAGACGCGCAGGTCTGCGAATGGTGATTGGCGCCAAGGAGGGGCCGTTCATGTTGTGCAGAATGCGTCTGAAGAGGGGTCAATTGCTTGTGAAAGTGCTATGAGTCAATGGAATAGTGAACTAATCAAAGTAGAGAGGGTCAGGGCAACTAGGTTGGAACATCCAATATCGGAGAATGGGAAAATGCATGCGCCCCCCGAGGGACTTCAGTTACTCGACAGGCATCGGACGCATTGATGAGCTGGCATTGCAGTGGAGAAAGGCGTTGGATTTATCTGCATATTCTGGTTCTGACGATTACTTTTGCCCTCTTGGGCCTCGTGCAGCTTGTGTTTTTTTGCTGGCAAACACATTATGATGTACATCGTAGGAGCATTCTCATATTGATCGGCGAGAAGGCGGGACAAGTAAATCTCCCGCGCTAAGGGACTTTTTGTGAACTTCAGAAAATCGGTGAAAGTGCCAGCGCAAAAACAAGAAGGAATTGGTGCTATGTGCTATGACCTATGTTGTAGTGTCATACTCGGGGCCGTGAACCCAACCCCTTGCGTCCGGTCTCGTTCACAGCATCCTCCTTGGCTCGGTCGAAAAATTATCCTCGTGGCTCCCATGCCATGACCGCCGATATGACCGCGGGGCTTGCAGTCTCAAGCATCCAAGACATAATCATGCATAATGCACTCGCCCGGAGTCCCTGGTTACCAATGACACCCTGCTTCAATCTACGATGTCCTCGAGAGAAATTTCGAGGAAAACCTCGTCCGTTGTGGCGCGTTGTCCCGTGTCTTCTTTCTGATATAGCGTTGGGGAATACCCCTCCCAACTAGACAGTGAGGGGCCGGGCCTCGGACCAGAGCCGCATTTGCTCAGCGGCTTTGTGCGGGATCACATACAAAGGGTGCATTGGCTCTAGCCGATCACCTCTTGAAAACACATTGGCCGGGTCGCGGCTTGGTGAAGACTTCCAGGAAAATGAGGATGAGAAGTTGTTGCTTGCGACACTTGAGTCTGTCCGGTAATGATGGTTTTGAGCCGCACTCAATCCTGCCATGACGTAGCAAGTGTGATATGAATCGACATGTCTTAGGTCCTAGTCAGCTACATGTGCAAAAGGAACTGTCACAGATGGAGTTAACATACTTGCCCGGTTTGTCACGAAGACCACCGTCGTTTCCTTGACAACATGCAAGGATGTATCGGGTTAAACCTTCGCGGCTGAAAAGACTGTTGGCTGGTGGCTCGGTGCTATCCGGCTTCCCCTCTAGAGAAGATTCAAGCAATGGCCAGCATCCACCAACCCAATGGCTGTAGCACCCATCCACCAGCTTATTTGTTCGTCCGGACAGACCACCTTCTGGGGTGGACTGGCGTGCAGACAACCATGATACTAACATGGGAATGTCCATGTGTCTGCCAGGAACCATTAGTATACGAGAATCAATGAGAGCATTCTGGGCTAGAGCAGTCTCGCACCTGTTGAAGATCTCCTCGGGGGATCCCAAGATAGAAAGGCACGCCAGAGCACAAAAGGCATATGCCCCATGGGCCTCTGAACCAGGGCTACCGGAGATACCTCCTTCAAACGTTTGGCCTAAGGGCGAGTGTCAGCAGATCTCAAAGCTACTATAAACCAAACCCGGAACTCATACATCGTGAGAGATATTCAGGGAGACCACTCGTCAGACTCTCCAATCCAGCCTCCCGCGCTTGAGATCCCGGAGCAAGCGACAGCGGCAGATCAAGTAGCGAGATAAGAGTCATAGCGCAGTATGCGCCACTGCATTAATGACATGTCAGATCTTGCATTTGGGAAGAGGAACGGGATTGCGACCAAGCCGCCGGCCCCAGCCATGGGGGTTTAACCTACCGCACATCTTGCTCCCCGCCCTCACAAACACGGAATCCCCCATCTGGCTGCTTCAATCGGCCAATCCATTGCCACCTAGGAAAGCCAGAAACTGGGTCAGACGCACAGGATCACACAAGACGCACATGCAGCAGAAAGCTGCCAGTGACAACTCACATCGCGTGTCGATCCACCAATCCGAAGGCTTCCTCGCCTCCAACTATAGCGAGCGACAGGACGGCTGCATAGCTGCCCGCCAGATGGGATGTCTGACCATGGCCGCCGCCAAAGCCACCTGTGGGGTTCTGCATCGGCCGAAGCGTAGTGATCACACTAAAATAGAAGAGGAATGTTCAGAATGGTTTTCTTTTTTTTTCACGTTCCACGTTGTAAAAGAGGAGATGATCCTTTCCAATCAGGGTACATGTCTTCCAGAGGCTCTGTCTCCATTCTGTTCTGTGGATATATGACAGATAGAAAAAAGCAAATTGGGGGAGACGGAGGCGGGGAAATGGCAATAATTTTAAAAATAAAAATAAAAAGCAAGGATGTAAAAGCATGCACGCACCGTTCGCGAAATCGAGTCGTCTCCTCTCCCAGCATGGCAAGTCCCGCCAACGCCCAGTACACAATCCACGGTCGGCTGGCATCCATGGCGACGAATCCCTCGGGATAATCCTCGAGAGCATCATAGAGGTAGCTGGCATGGAGATCACGTTGCAGGGCGGGTACGCCATGGTCGTTGAAATCCTTCTGGGTGCTGTGGATGCCTTTCAGGAATGGTAGGCATTTTTCCAGGGTCGCGTTCTGCAGATCGATCGTCTCTGTGATGAGCGGGTCGCGGATGGGTGGCGCCTGCGTGAACAAGGCCGGGATCCCCGGGCGCGGTTGGTTGGAGTCAGATGTGTTCACGGCTGTAGTCATGGTGGCTGTTGGAATGAACGAGGTTGGACGGTTGGGCTTTTGTGCGTTCGGAAATCGAACTTTTCGAGGTTTCCCGATGAGCGGCATGGGATTTGGAGGTGTTTTGTAGATTTGAAGCTCAAAGAAATGTAAATTGAACCTTCTTACGATTGTTCTGTCGATGTGAATGTGAATGTTAAAAGGCTAGAATTATATTCTTTGTTTCCCCACCCGATCTCTACCGTCAAATTTTTGACGACATGATCACAACATGTCCAAGTCTCACACCTTGACTGTATTTCCCATATTTCCCATATTTTTTCGAGTACTGGAATTATCCTGATTCAGCTAGAACCAGGCTTTCTCGTGGGAGATGCATATATCGAGTGCTATTCCTCCGTACTCGTGAAGAGCTCCTGCATGTCACAGAAGTCAACATGTATATATATGTGATGGATCTGACGCCATGCAGTGCGCAAGTATATTGGCTTACATGACACCCTTGCTGCATGTGCCCATGCCCCAGGTATCGTAGAGCAAAATAAATTTTTTAAAAAACTTAGACCTGTCAAATTTCTTGTTTTGCCAGGGTCCACGATACTAATTTGGCGCTCTCAACAAGATTTCCAGTCCGTGCAATATACCTTAGCAGTATTTTCATATACTATGTATTCTACTACTATATTATTTATTATTTTCCTATTTTCCTACGGGATCTCCAAACTGCATGGTCATCCTGAACTGGCCCACTAAATACCATTGAGGTATGCATTCAAGGAACCGTGAGATACGAATCACAGGCATGATAGTGGGCAGACAGAGAGCTGATTGGATCTGATTAGGAAGGACTCCAGGCTCAACTAATTTTGGCACATGATCCGACTGTCAGATCTGGCCAAATCTATATTGCCACGCAGTTGTACGCACTGGCTTAAATTGGTTTATTTTCCTTTTCCTCCCCCCACTGATCTTCCGGGTTCGGTCTCACGGATGATTTTCTAATAGTAAGGATCTCAGAACCTTGTAGATGTAGAAAAATAAAATATATATGAGATAGAGATATGTAATAGATATGAATAAAGATATGAAATAGTACTCTGTATGATGAAATAAGAAAAGACGAGGGGAAAAACAGACCTTTCCCATTTAGGAAAGAATTCAATAAAATAGGGAGAGATCATGGGATCAGCCAACGGCTAATGGGCCCAGAGGGTACTCCGTACGGACTAGGGTTCACCTACCTCCGAATTCATCCTCTCGAGGTCAACACTACTGCAAACTAATGCCCGTGGCATTAATTCATCACTCAAGACTGGATTCAACCCTCCACGCCATCAGCCAGCCTCTCCACTCTCCACAATCAACTCCCCTAGCGCATTTCTTCGCTCACCGCTGCTTTGTCCCCCCCACCGCCTCACTTTCCCTCTTCTTCATGGTTGTGTCACCCTTCTGAAGAAGGTCCTCTCATCCAGGCTGGTCCTTTTCTTCCCCTTCTATTTCACTTACCTGTGGTCGTTTTGACTCCAAAAAAGTCATGTCCAATGCCGATATATCTAGTAATGGCCTTATTGGCGTCGATTACGACTCCAGAGGCTATCTTCAGCATCAATCATGGCCTGTGGCGGTAGACCAGGCGCCCCCACGGTCAGAAGAAGGCCATGGTCTCTCCCCGTTGCAAACTGGCGGTCACCCTCTGGAACAGTCGGTGACCCAGGATCCAAATCTCATGGTCGATTGGCACTTTCAACCACTACACACCCCTCACCACCACCACCACCTCTCATATTCCTCCGAAGACCCGTCCTCAGCGCCCCAGTTTACCACCAGTTATGGCATGCCAATGCAGTCTTCCCCCGTCGATCTCATGTCTGGCCAGGGCCAGATGAGCGCCGGCTTGCTCGATGGTCCCTATTTGCCGATGTCGGCACCGGTCGATATGGTGCCATTCACGTATCAGGACTTCCAAGCGGATCTGATGGCGTTCCCCAACGGGCTTCCGGATGTTTCTTACGCCCCGCACCCCGTTCTGGAAAGCAGCTCGCCCACCGATACTTATCTGGAGGTCCGTTCCCTGTCCAGCAGCGACAACGGCTGGAGTACTATCGACCATCGCCGCTCTCTCGACTTTGGTTATCCTGAACAAGGTGTTTTCGTCAACCCCACCCAGACACTGCACGACCGCAGTCTTTCAGAGTCTTCATATTCAACTTCATACGGCAGCTTTGTGGATATCACGAATCCGATCGGTTCTCCCGGTTCCGAGAACAATATGGATTTGCCTTGCTATAATCACCATGGCCACGGCCATAGTCATAGTCATAGCCATGCTCACAGCCACAACCACAGCCACAGTTACAGCCATAGCAGCGCCATTGGATTCCACGGTACCTCCCCGACAAGCAGCGCAATTGTCCTTCGTGACCAGTCTTCGCCATCTCGCTCGCCTTCCGCAGTCAGCCCCGTCGGGATGGTGCGGCCGATCCCGGTTCCGATCAAGAAGTCAACATCCCCTGCCCGCTCGGCTGGGTCTTCTCAGGCATCTGCCTCACCACCGAGCCGGAAACCGTCCCGCAAGAGCCCTATTGCCGCCAAGACCGCCGAGACCAAGGTTCGCAAGCAGTCCCAGACCGGCAAGCCTGAGACCGAGAAGCGTGTTGGCAAGAGGAAGGGCCCCCTGAAGCCCGACCAGCGCAAACAGGCCAGTGAGATCCGGAAGTTGCGCGCTTGCCTGCGCTGCAAATTCCTAAAGAAGACGTGTGACAAGGGCGAGCCTTGTGCAGGATGCCAACCGTCGCATGCACGGTTATGGCAGGTGCCATGCACTCGCATTGATATCAAGGAGATTGGCTATTTCATGAAGGACTGGAAAGCGGATTATGAGCGCCACATTACCATGGGCTTCTCCGTCGGCAACATCACTGGATTCTCGGACCAGGAACGTACTCTGTTCATCACTCACGGATATGGACAGATCCTGCCCATCAACGCTCGCGAAGTCTATGTCCGTGATGAGCAGTGCTTCACGGTCGACTGGATCGAGACAATGCAGCGTGATCCAACACAGTACGAGGTCGAGACTGCCAAACTCTCCGCTGGTATGGAGGGCATCTCGCACGCGATGCTGTCGGATTACCTTGACCGCCACATCGACGGCAATGGCACCTTTGAGAAGTTTGTCGACGATTACTTCGAGGGCACTCCTTTCCTGACGCAGATGCTGAAGACCGCCTTCCGCTTTTACTTCCGCACTAAGCTGCCCGTTATCCGGAAGGCACTCAAGCTGGTGGTTGCTTACAACCTCACCATGCATGTCACCATGGTCGAAGGCATTGGCGAGGAGGAAGGCTTCCTCGGCAAGATCGAGAACATGGGCTCCAAATTCTCCGGCAAGACCATGGCCCCTGTCATGATCAACTTCCAGATTAAGTGTGCCATGGCTAGCATGTGGCGTGAGCTGCAGAAGGATGTGCTGGAGGAGCTATCATCACTTTACTCGAGTGTGTACAGCGGCGACAAGCTGAAGAACTGGCCCACGATCTTCATTCTGGCCTCCATTCTGCTGGCCGTGTGGGAGGAGATGCAGTTCGACAGCCACTACCGGACACCGGACGCCGCTGCCGTCGACAAGTTCTGCACCGACATGGAAACCACACCGGTGGGCGTCATCGTCGGACTGTTCCAGGCCATCTCGCAGAAGCTGCCACCGTTCACCGAGTGGGACTCGCAAAAGCACCACCAGCTGTTGTACTCCAACCCGGATGTTTGCAACACCATGACTGAAGTCCGCCAACATGTCGAGCAACATGGTAAGAGACAGTCTCTTCCAAACCTTCGAAATTGATCTCCGAAACTAACCCCACCTTGCAGAAACCTACCTCCGCAGCCGTAGCGGCACGAAATTCAACCGTGGCGACTTCGACTGCCTTTCAAATAAGTTTGTGTCGCGACTGGTCATTCGCGCCAACTAGACAACGACCCCGATGCGCAAACGCATTATGATGATGATATTTACCACGACTACCGTTTCCAGCGAGTACAGTTCCTCGATTTCGTTTTGAATGCTAAATGTTGACACCGAGAATATGCGAACCATTGTCGTGACGATGTGCGAGCGCATCCATTTCCGCTCTTTCACGAAGAATCCGACGGGTCCCCCTCCCAGCGAGGTTCTACCCTTTTTTTGTATTGTTGTTCCGAGCGAACCGACTTTCTTTTGATCTAGCTTTTTATGAGCCGTGTTGCCTTTTTTCTTGGTCTTGTCTTTTGTCATATTTACCTTTCCATTTTTCCTTTATCATATTGTCTTTTTTGGTATTTTTTGCTCTTGTCTTTGGTGTATACCTTTCTTCGCATAGCTTTGTCTCCAGCGATGAACGAGGATCACGAATGTCATGACCGTGTACGGCCGAAGGTGTTTCTTATTGTTTTGTTTTCATTTTTGTGGCACCTGGCACCCGCCACGGAACAGGCCAACAATTCAAGTTAAAGCCAGGCCCATGAGGAAGGATGCGCAGGCTGTCTTATCCCTGAACTGCCACATTCTTTGTGGTGGTTGACGCATATCTTCTTTGCCGGGGAAAACGGCGTCGGAGGGATATTTGCGAAAGCGTTTTGTTCATACATTGCGGGCTTTATGCTCTATATCTTGATAGTTTTTAACTCTATAACTTGAATTCTTATTTTTTATTTCTTTTTGACTATTGAACGATAAAAAAAAAGGAAAAGACAGCGGTGAAACCGGATCCGGCTTGGATACTAAGTTTGGAAGCGGGTACTGGGTACCCGGGAGACCGCAACAGTTGCCCCGTACAGCCCCGTACCCTGTACTTTCTGATCGCTAGCGTCTCCATTTTAAGGTCCACCCCCTCTTTTGACGATAAGCAACATAACGTCATCACTTGGGGATGAGGACAAGGGGAGTTGAGGAATATAAGAAAACATATAAGTGACTGAAAACAGTGGAAGATCATGGAATCTTAATAATGTTAATAATAGTCTATTTGTAGACCGTATCCAATAAAATACAAGTATCGGAGTTTTCCAGGTGGCGTCAAATGAAGTGATGGGCTGTTCTCAGGCACCCCCGTTTGACTCATCCGGCATCTTCTGGCATTTTCACGGCGTCACCTGCACCTGACTAAGACGTCTTGCCCCCTCATCCTTCCAAGGTTTCCTACATAAGCGCTGTTTCCCCTCTTCTGCTTTCTCCCTTCTTTCAATCCACCATTCTCCACAGCTCGCTTCACACTTGAGCGTCCTTCCCTTCAAATCAACGTCTTTAAATAATAAAGCCCATCATGCAGATCTTTGTCAAGACTCGTACGTTTACACCCCTATCCGGCCTTGAGATCTCAGCCCATGGACATCATTGCTAACATTCCTTTGTCTCTAGTCACTGGCAAGACCATCACCCTTGAGGTTGAGTCCAGCGATACCATCGACAACGTCAAGTCGAAGATCCAGGACAAGGAGGGCATCCCTCCTGATCAACAACGTTTGATCTTCGCCGGCAAGCAGCTTGAGGACGGTCGCACGCTTTCAGACTATAACATCCAGAAGGAGTCCACTCTCCACCTGGTCCTTCGCCTCCGTGGCGGTATGCAGATTTGTAAGTGTTTTACTCACATCCTTGTCATTTATTTTGACTAACATTTGCCACAGTCGTCAAGACCCTGACCGGCAAGACCATCACTCTCGAGGTCGAGTCATCTGACACCATCGACAACGTCAAGTCGAAGATCCAGGACAAGGAGGGCATCCCCCCCGATCAGCAGCGCCTTATTTTTGCCGGCAAGCAGTTGGAGGACGGTCGTACTCTGTCCGACTACAACATTCAGAAAGAGTCCACTCTACACTTGGTTCTCCGTCTACGTGGTGGTATGCAGATCTTTGTCAAGACGCTCACTGGCAAGACTATTACACTTGAGGTCGAGTCATCCGACACTATCGATAATGTGAAGTCCAAGATCCAAGATAAGGAGGGCATCCCCCCCGACCAGCAGCGTCTCATCTTCGCAGGCAAGCAGCTTGAAGATGGCCGCACACTCTCCGACTACAACATCCAGAAGGAATCCACCCTCCACCTTGTCCTCCGTCTACGTGGTGGTATGCAAATCTTTGTCAAGACTTTGACCGGAAAGACTATCACGCTAGAGGTCGAGAGCTCAGACACCATTGACAACGTCAAGAGCAAGATCCAGGACAAGGAGGGTATCCCCCCCGACCAGCAGCGTCTTATCTTCGCTGGTAAGCAGCTGGAGGACGGACGTACTCTTTCGGACTACAACATCCAGAAGGAGAGCACCCTGCACCTGGTGTTGCGTCTGCGTGGTGGCCAGTAATTGATTTACGATTCTTTTTCTCAACTTCGATAGGTTCTCCATGACCTGCATGGCGTTTGGTCGGTTTTTCGAGGCTGAGGCTTCTTTTTCCTGCGATGTTTCCTAAGGACGGCTTCTCTCTTTTACTTGCCCACATTCTCATCACGGATATGTGATAGATAGTTCTCTACAATTCACTCTAGCAATATTTGCTGGTCTTTACCTAGCATACCATTTCATTATAATGTAGTTGTAGGTAACAATATTTGCTGGTCTTTACCTAGCATACCATTTCATTATAATGTAGTTGTAGGTAAATTGACATTCATGGAGTACATTAATGTTATGGACACGAACATGTTCAACCCTGCGGCATCACACCAGCTCTGCAAGTCCTATGTAGGTGGCTTGTCCGGGTACTTCTGTTTAACCACACCAGTTCTCGCCACCTTCACGTTCTCGACCAGAATGTGCCTCAGAATCTCAATATTTTTGCCTCTTTGCCACACTCGCGTGCCAGGAACCACTTGTGGCACAAGGTGCAGGGGCGGGCGGCAATAGAATATTACATAAGTAGTCATACGTCCTTATCGTGATAACACAACTTCCTCTTTTGACAGTTCAAGCCGCAAGCTCCAGAGGATGCGAGCCATCATCCGGCATGCCCGCTTACTTCTACCACCTTAGCTTGCAACTCCTCTCCCACAGCCTATCTGACGCGCCGAGCTCGCAGGGATCTCCTGTCGCGCTACAGTCCGCATGGGAAGCTCTCCAACCATTCCAACAACGGAGCAGTTCACCGTCCAACCGCCCATCACCCGCAGGGGATAATCCAACCCCGCCAACCCCAGACCACATTTTGGCGCATCGCCGTAAACCCATATCCATCCTCTCCACCCACTCAACCACCCCACCGGGAACGACTCCCTCCGTCAACACTTCTAACGACTCTAACACCTCGTCCACTGGCTCCTCAACTAGCCCCACCCCACTTGAAGACGACAAGCGCTTCGGCGCCGTCTCCATCGAGTGCATTGACATGGTCACTCCGAAGCATCCGCCCAAACGCACCTCGAGGCGCGGCTCCGCACCCACCACAGAACCAGAGAACCTCGTCGCCGCAGGCATCGGCACTGACATTCTAGGCGGGCTCCGCACAAAAGGCCGTTATATCCCACTCGATTATGAGCTTGCCGACAGCATCTGGGGAATTGTACACCTGTACCGCGACTCGCAGGAGACGGCCTACCTCGGAAACGACGATGAGTACCCCGCCTACCTGAAGGGCTCCTCAGCTGCGGCCCGGCAGCCTGTTGAGCAGCAGGCTACGTTGAGGCAGGGTCTAGCCGGTGCGGCTGATGGTAAACGATCTGGGACGAAGGGTCTGGCGGAATATCCTTTTCCTGTGACAAGTTCTTCCTCTGCGCAGAGTCCTGATGAAGATTGTACAACACTGTGTATTCTCGCTGTGCCGTCTTATCTGTCGCCGCCGGACTTTTTGGGGTTTATCGGGCAGAAGACCATGGATGACGTTAGTCATTTCCGGATGATTAGGACTGCGCGTGCGAATCGGTATATGGTTTTGATGAAGTTCCGGAGTGGGCGGAAGGCGAAGGAATGGCAGAAGGAATGGAACGGGCGCGTGTTCAATAGCATCGAGCCCGAGACCTGCCATGTTGTGTTTGTGAAGACCGTCGAGATTCAAGTCGTGGATTCCGGAACACCATCTGCTGAGAACGGCGCTGTCTCCTCTAACCACTCGACCCCCTCTCGGCCGCCTGTACCATCTACCGGACAAGCAACTCTAACCGGCAAACCTCTGGCACCACCTACGCCTGCTCTAATCGAACTACCGACCTGTCCGGTCTGCTTGGAGCGGATGGACGAAACCACGGGGCTCCTAACAATAAACTGCCAACACGTCTTCCACTGCACCTGTCTCCAAAAATGGAAAGGCAGCGGTTGCCCCGTATGCCGATATACACAAGACGACTACCGCAAAAGCAACGCCTCGCTCAAACCAGGCGAAGAACCCCAAGAATGCAGCATCTGCCACTCAGAAGAAAACCTCTGGGCCTGTCTAATCTGCGGCGCGATCGGCTGCGGCCGCTATGACAACGCCCACGCCTTCGCCCACTGGAAAGAAACAGCCCACGCCTTCTCTATGGATCTCACCTCCCAGCGCGTATGGGACTACGTAGGCGACGCCTACGTCCACCGCATCATACAAAACAAAACAGACGGCAAGCTCCTCGAGCTACCCGCAGCAGACTACAGCGCCCTCGACCCACCAGACTGGGGCGACGCCGTCCCCCGCGAGAAACTAGAAAACATGAGTGTCGAATACACACACCTCCTCACCAGCCAACTTGAAAGCCAGCGCGCATACTTCGGAGAAGTCGTCGAGCGCGCCGTCGACAAAGCATCGCAGGCTAGTGCTGCCGCCGCCGTGGCGGAAGTCAATGCTTCCAGCGCCACGTTGCGTCTCGAGGAATTACAGGATAAGTATGATGTTATGACTATTGAGACGTTGCCGTCGCTTGAACATGACCGCGCCCGCGCGGAGAAAAAAGCGGAGAAATTCGAGGCCCTGGCACGCTCGTTTGAAAAGGGGTTTCAGGAGGAGAAGGCTATGAATCGGAATATGATGTTGAGGTTGGAAGGTCTTGCTAAAGAGGTTGATATGCTTAAGGCTGCAAATGCGGATCTCGCGGAGCAGAATCGTGATTTGACGTTCTTTATCAGTGGCACCCAGAGGTTGCAGGGGCAGGGTGAGGATGTTGAGCAGGGGACTGTTTCTGTGCCTGAGCCGTCGGCTGCTTCGAAGAAGAAGAGGAAGGGGAAAGGGAAGAGGTAGTTTTGGGTTAGGGAACTTTTTGCATTTACCTTTGCTGTCCCTGATAGGTATGTGGTTTTGCGATTACTTTGCTCGGATTGGAGTGAACGGTCTAGGGTTTTCTTTTACTGCGTCCCTAATCGGGATAAGGTTGGGTGGTTATATGCATTTAGCGAGGTGTACGCAGTACACTAGAAACGAGTTAATGAATATGAATTTATGAAATATCGATATGCAATGGAGTACAATAGTCAAATAATATACAAATAGCTCAAAAATGCAAGTATAGATACACGCCTCCCTCGAAATCACCTAAACCTCCTTCCTAACAGCCCAGAAATAATTCCCCCAATCCTCACTCCCAGGCACCATCTTCCACCCAATCCCAGGAATATAAATAGCGCCCACACACTTCCACCTCATCCCCTCTGCAATCGCACTCCCACCCCTCGAAACACCCGTATCACCAGCCCTCATCAACCCCTCCTGCAACCACCCCTTGACCTCATCAGGGTTGACAAACTTACTCCACTCATGCGTCCCGCGCGGCACAACACCAATAGGCCACGGCGCTTCCGCAATAACCTGGTTCAGGATGAACGACGGCAGCGTCCGCGAAATTGTAGACCCAATTAGCCACCCGCCGGGCTTGAGCGCGCGCAGACAGTTTGTCAGGAAGCTTAGCGGCGTTGAGGTCTTCGGGTCGATGTGTTCGAGTACTTCGAACAGGGTTACGACGTCGTATTGTGCGGTGGGTTGGGTTGAGGGAGAGCTGGAGGTTGGGGTGGAAGCAGCAGTCGGAGTGCCAGCCTTGCCGGCAAGTACATCCTCCAGCGTCGTGTTAAGGTACTTGAAGCGACCAGTGCGCAGGTGCTCGTGGACGGTTGGATCCTTGCGCGCGTGCTCGCGCGCCATTTGGATTAGGTCCGTTGAAGGATCGATTGCGGTCATCGAGGCGGCGAGGGTTGGGGTTGGGGCTGCGGCGGTTGGGTCGAGTGGGATTGTGCGTGCGAGGGACTCCGCGAAGATGCCGCCGCCGCAGCCTACGTCGAGGTAGTTGAGGGTTGCGGTGGTTGAAGTTGAGGTTGAGGTTGAGGTTGGGTTTGGTGAGGCGGTTCCTTCTGCTAGGCAGGAGGCGATGAATTCGTGGCGGAGGGGGTTCATTAGGTGCAGGATTCGGGAATGGCCCATTGGGTCCCACCAGGAGCTGGCGAGACCGGAGAAGTGGGAGAGTTCATCGGCGGAGACGGAGGATGTTGAGTGCGCGCGGGTTTGGGTTGATAGGGTGGATGGGGTGGATGCGGGTGCGGAGAGGAAGTGGTTGGGTGAGGGCCTTGTTGAGCGGAGGGTTGAGCGGATGGTTCGGACTGAGAGAGGGAGAGTACGGGGTCGGAGGGAAGCCATTGTGTAGGTAATGGTATTGATTGTGGGCGATATTTGAGGTCCAATGGAAAATTGGCTCCGGTTTTGGTGCTCTAGTGAGCTTCGGTGGTGTGGAGACCCGAGGATTATCTGTGAGGAAGCGTTAATGGGGGGTTGCAGGTAGAATTGAAAGCAATAGAGAGCATACCAGTAAATATCCTGAGCAATCGAGAAGAGATGAAGCTGATCACCAAATGGGAGATTCGATGCTGAGACAAACATGCCAAGACAATTTGACTGCAGTTCACGAGTATGAGCTTCCTTCTCGACTACGAGGTACATCGGCTACAATGGCCATGGATCTGATGCATTGAGGTATTGATCGTGTTCTACAATTCGGTTGCTCCTCCATATCATAAACAGTCATCTATAAAACTCCACTTGGTATCACAAAAACAAAATCCGCGTCACGAATGCAATACAGTCGTACTCATCGTCACAAGAGACAATTTTCGAAGCCCAGTTCCTGCGGCACATGCGGATGAGGAGCTGGCTCGGCTTGGCCATCGACATCATGGATATCAATATCCTCTACAGTGGCAGAGTAATCCCAATCGTGCTGGCCAGACCATGAAGCCAACTGATCCGGCACAGCAGCGCCGAGTATAGGAAGGAAATTTCCCGTTGTGATGTTGCAGTCGAGTCCAAGCACGGTTCTACAACGATCCAGTAATGTAGGGAAGAGGTATGAGGGCGACCCACGAATCTGAGACAGCGTGTGAAGTATACCCCACAGCAACTCGTTCGGATCAATAATCGACTCAGCCAATCTGTTGACGGCTTTTGGTCCAAGAGATCTCGTCACATCGGCGACAGAGGATCCTAGATCAAAGAGTTTTTGTTCCTATAGTGTCCAAATCAGTATACCAACAATTAGCTTCATAACGGGGTTGACCTACCATTCCAATCCCATGGGCATCAACAGCACCCTGCGATGCAGCACCAATCACGCTCATCACGGACTTACCCACCATCACTGGTAGGTGAAATGGCAAAACTGGGTCATCGCGTGAACCAGGCTGTGTGGCATGGCTCATAGACAGTTTCCACATCATTGTCTGCAGCCACTGTTGCGTGATCAAGATATCAACCTGCTGGATCTCAAGGACCCCCTCGAGGGAAATAGCCTTGCATAGGTTGGACTGGATGACGGAGGTTGGCGGCCTCTCCAAGATGCCATCTCCGCCACCGGCAGACATCCAGTCGTAAAGGTTCGGGGTGAGATTCTCAAAGATGTTGATCAGGTTGATGAACCCATAAGCCAGGATAGGATCTTCCGAGCAAAGGACTTGAGGCTTGTGAATAGAGCTGCGCAGCATAACCGGCTTCGCTTGCTGGAGAGCATAACCTCTGCCAATTTACAAATCAGCTCTAGTTCAGACCGTGATCTTTCATAAGTCGGCCCACTCACCTCTCTGTGATAAACAGAAGCCAGAACACGCGCCGTCTTTCCTCCGCCTCTTCAGCCTCATACTCTGCATACGTCGACTCGCGATGTAACCCAAGCGTGAATACAAACGAGGTAGCCTGGCACAAGAAGAACCAAGCTTGGTCCTGACGATCAAGATTCCCATACGAGGCAAACAAAAAGAACGAAGTCAAAAGCGACTCCGTGCTAGCTTCTTCCAAAACATCACAATCCCGCCGCGCCCGCACGGCCTCCGAAAGAAGCTCTTCCCCAGACATCAACGAGTGCTCATCCCCGAAACTCTGCAAACGTGCGGGATCCGGCACAGGCGTCGCCCCATCCAGCTTCAACTGGATATGCGTAGCCGCACACAGCGCCGCCAAAAGCGCATACCGCTGCGCAGACAGCTGCCCGGGCTGGTGGCAATCCAACCGGAGCTGGTCGGCGCGGACCACCGGCATAATCGGAAACAAGTACTTGAGGTAGATATTGACATGGGCGAGCAGAATCTGGGGCGAGAGACGGCGGGCAACCGGCTTTGCATGGCCATGGCCATAACCAGTGGCGGATTCAACTGTTGAGTCCGTGGAGCCCGGAGAGGATACGAGTTCCGGGGGGTGCAGGTGGGGAAAAGTATCCGGGAAGTCCTGGCCTGCAAATTGCGAGTCTGCGATTATGAACCCTGGCGAAATGGGAGAGTTGAATTGGTAGTCCGGGATCTCGCCGGTACCGGCGTCCTCGGGATACGTAGTCTCGGGAGGGTCTTGTCGGGATGAGAGCGGGTGGATCGGGGCCAGGGGATACAGGGTGCGGAATTTGGGCCCCTTGCGACGGAGGACGTCGCTGTACGAACAGGAGAGAAGTAGCCGTTGGCACTTGTCGCATGGTAGTTCGCGGGAACATTTTATTTTGCGACGACGACAGTTGTCGCATGCTTGTTTTGGCTTGGACTGTTTGGTGGACATTGTTGAATTATTGCTAGGTCTTTGCTAGACTCAACAGAGTTGAGTTCATGTTAGGGTCGAAAGATATAAAGAAAAATGGTGCGAAGGTTCCATCCGGGGAGTTTGGCATGGGCCATTATAATAAGGGAAAAAAAAACAATGCAAACCTGGGGAAGCGGGGAGGAAAAGGAAAAAACCCCGCGAGAGCCCCTGCGTTAGAATTATGCTTCATATTTTGATCTTTATTCGCATTGGCTTCCTTATGGATGGATATTCTAACTACTCTTCTGGATTGGGGGCGTCTTCTCTCGGCCCGACTTCTCCTCTATCCATGGTTGTCAACGTACATCCCCCGCAGCCTCCGGACTATAAGAATACAAGACATCACCAAGATCTCCATGAAAGTTGACTCATTGAGTCACTACTCCGTGCCCCCCAAGTCCCTATGATCCTGTGCTAATGTTAATTTGGACACCAAATCTCGGCCCGTGAGCGAAGTACCCTCTTGGCCAGGTACGGAGTACCCGCGGGACCAATACGGGAAGTCGGCTATGCCTGCCGGCTTCATAGCGCTGATTGACAGGTGCACTAGACTGAAAGATGCGGGATTTTCTTGGATTTTCTTGCCCGGTCAACCGGATTAGTGTAGAGTGGGCACTACTAGCCCTGATCATTCATCTCCGCTTCGCATTTCGCATGTTGATACCCGATCCAATCACTTGCTTCAAGGTTGGTCTAGATATAGATATACGAGTATAGCTTTGGATCTACAGAGCGGTATCCTCTCACCAGTGCCGACATGGGTCTATTCTCGTATCCTTCTCGGCTTCCCGAAAGTGCGAAATGGGGGCTCCTATGTCGTATATCATGCGGGTTGAAGTGGATAGTTCCACTATCGTTTGTATGATTTGTACAGTATAGCCGAGGTGGAAATAGCATTAGTTGAATGGTGTTCCCCGGTCCCAGAATTACTCCAAAATTCTCTGAACGTCCGGGACATTCCGTAGCTAGAAGGTTCTTCACAGAGGAAAGGACTCACCGCAGCATGATACAGAGGATTATAAGATTATAATGACGCCATTGTAAAGTGTATTGATTCCACGGTCAGATATTCTGTTTGTACTATTGAAGACGGGCATTTGTCGGACAACTGACCAATCACCTAGGAATGGCATGATCTCTTGTGATCGGCGTTGCATTAAAGGCATCGGAGTAATTATTCTCCGCAATATTACTCCGCTACTTCCAAGGCTGTCATTTTGCAGGGGCTATTTCGAACTCTACTTGTCCTTCGTGGGATTCCGGAGAGATATTTACCTCTTCTAGTCGCCAGATTGGCATCTTTTACGATATTTGGATAGTAAAGAATGTAGTCTAAAACGAACCTATACCCCTCTTTCGTGTACATCGTACATGTAGGTTATACAGTCCTACGGGTGGACGGTGTCGGGTCGTAAGGGACCTCCCCCTCTCCGCACTCTACACAGCCCGGATCTCTTTTGAAGCTAATCAACCCCGCAAAGGCGTTCAGCCATGCAAAGTATGTGATTCCATCAGAGAATCAGTGGAAACTCTCTCGGGTACGGCATACCATCGGGTTCCTGGTTCCTGTACGCAGTGCCAGAACCGGACCGATTACGCTCAGCAACTGTAGAAATACGAGCTGATACATGATTATCACAGACAAAATAACCCCTGATCTCCAACCAAAATACTCCGTGGGGAAGTGGCCATTATGGTTGGTGTGAAGAACCTTCTTAGCGGTGCTTGGCTCTTCCTAGCCTATGGTGCTTTCTCAACATCCGCCTCTACGGCCTCGCCCCCTCACTCTGCCGCTGCCTCTCTGACTTCTTCGGGAAAATACACTCAATTTACCATTCCCGCTAGCGCTGAGGCTGGCGCACAGCTGATCGCCAATATCGATGACCCTGAAGCTGTTGATGCGCAGTCGGTTTGTCCCGGGTACAAGGCATCCAACGTCGAGGAATCTGCTCGTGGAGTAACCGCTACCCTGACGCTAGCCGGAAAGCCATGCAATGTCTACGGCACCGATGTGGACTCCTTGAACTTTTCCATTGAGTACCTCGCCAATGACCGCCTCAACGTTCAAATCGTCCCGACTTATCTGGATTCTTCGAACTATTCTTGGTTCATGTTGGATGAGCATGTCGTACCCCGACCCATCTCCGATCGTCAGGCTTCAAAGGAAGATAGTGATCTTGAGGTCACCTGGTCGAATGAGCCGTCTTTCCATTTCAAGGTGACCCGCAAGGCTACCAGTGACGGCATCTTCGATACCACCGGTTCCGTCTTGGTGTTTGAGAATCAGTTTGTTGAGTTTGTTACCTCCTTGCCCAAGGATTATAACCTGTATGGCATCGGAGAGCACATCCAGCAGCTGCGCCTCTTGAACAATCTCACTTTGACTCTCTATGCATCAGATATTGCTGACCCTATTGATGGGTAAGTTCCATTCCCAAATACCCTTTTCCGTTGCGTTCTATTCCTTGTTTGATGCTGACTACTTTTACCAGCAATATTTACGGCTCCCAGCCTTTCTATCTGGACACCCGCTACTATGAGGTTAACGATAAGGGTCATCACAGCCTCGTTGCAAGCGACAAGGCCGA